TGAGGCTTAAATGCCTTTCAATCCTGTGTGTCTTGTTACAGCAAACATAAGAAGGGTAGCTAATAGCTAATGGGCTCAAGGATCTCCTCCCAATCATTTCTTAATAGAAGCCAGGGCATCAGCTTCAACAAAAACAAAGCTGGGTAGGTTGTTTCAGACTTCCACAACACATCTTGTGCCCAGGTGTGCGCTTAGTTTTTTTACCTAAATATCGGTTTGAACACCTGTTGCATGTGGGTGTGAATCAGCCAGCTGCTAACAGGTCTGGCAATACAGGAGACTGTGGGTACACATTAGAAAGCTGAATAAAAATAAAAACTTGACGAAAAGCGTCTGGAAGCAATTACAAGTACTGTTTTGGTGTTGTTGCAAGCAATATTATGAGAGAGCCTCCATAGTGTCTCACTAACCCACAGTAAATCAGAAGAATTCTTTGGGCAGTTACTTTGCACAGAATCCTTAAAAGCATTAAATCCTTAAGCGTGAGGTCTAGATGCAATGCTTCCGTCAAAATGAATTTCAGCATCATTCCCCAGGGGAAATTGATCACTTTCTTGTTATTTGTTACGTTGATAAAATATCATTGGAAACAATTGGGACAGAACAATCAATTGTGATTGCAAGCTTAAAGTTGCTGCTACTAAGACCTCATGTCCTAATTCCTGTTCCAAATGTAGAAGAAACCTATTATGTTATGTGCATTCTAATACTCTTGCACATTATCTGAAGCAGTACTTTTGATAGGTTTTAATATACCCATAGATACAGTATAAAAAATGAAGGCATTAAAGAAGGACTTCTAGTGATATGAAATATTTGCTTTTAACTTTGTGCATTTAATTTGTTTGAATATACACTCTGAGTCCTATAGTCAAATCACTTGCAGTAGGTGCTTAGATCTCAGTTATTTTTCCTATAGTGATATATATACTTCTCTTGTAAGGTCTCTGTGTCCAGATGTTTAGTCTGGCAGGCTGTGTATACTGTACATGCACCGTGCTCTTAGGTTGTCTAAGCAGTGGTGGCAGTTTGAATTTTAGCTTACTAACATTTCCATTATGAAATCATTTCCTGTGGCAAGATCTAATAAAGACACGCTCCCTCTCTCTTCGTCTGTTTTTATAAATGAAGGGAGGATGGGATTTTGTATGTTAGGTTTGTGCTATCTTTCCAGTTTCGCCTGTTTATATGAAACAGTGAAATGACTGTGTAGTATCCCTTCAAGGCTTACTGTGTGCACATCTCAGTATGTCGGTAAACATTATTGAAATATTTCCAATAACCTTGTTAAGCCTCAGGTCTCTGGCTGTATATGCATCTTTCTTTAAAAGAGTTGAAAAATGTTGCATGGGCTTGCTTAATCATGTATGGAGGCAAAAATTAAAAGGCTTCAGTTTTGCTTTTGATATAAACTGATCTTTTGTGCACTAGGAAAGTCTTCCACATAATCTTAGTTCTTCATGTCGCATTCAGTCTTTTTCACCATCCACAGTTTCTCTGTGTTTGTGGGTCTTAACCTGCCAATGCAGATGGAAGTCTCTCCATTAATATTCGCAATGTTATAAATGCACGCCCTACTGCCAGAAAGAGACCATTGGGAATGCGAATGTGAAAGGAAGCCTTTGTGTTACTATGTTAATTGACTTTTTTTTCTGGATAAGATTTCCCAGGGGCTGGAATGCTTTCCTGAAGGCCTGCTTATGCTAAGTGTCAGGTTCGATGTGCTGCCTGAGACTGATGAATGCAGCCTTAGCTGTGGGTTTGAAATAACTTTTTACATATTCCTTCATAACGCTGAATTATCACTTAAGTCTGGTGCACAGTGATTTAATTCCGATCAATACTTTTTCCAGTTCTGAAACAGAAACAAAAAGCATAGGTTTAAGGCACTGTTGGTAATTTCTAACATCACTTTTCATTTAGTTTTTTTAGCAAGTACACTGGGCTTCTAGCCTTTTTGATTTTGATGTGAAATTTGTTTGCATAGTCTAAATAACCCTGTTGAACTCTGCTGAGTGAAAATTTTGGGACACCATTGGAAAATACTTTTACTACGTTGCTGAAAAATTAAATTAATGTGGTTAGTTTTATCTGAAGCTGGGCAGTGCCCCCCCCCACACACACACACACTATTACAAATACATTCACAGTAATTTCCCAAAGTTCTTTTTTTAAGAGACGTGTCTTAATCAATTACAAAAAAAAGAACATGAACTAAAAACCCTGCCTTTCTGGAAATACTTGCCTAAATGTTCAAACAAAAGAGGGTGTATTTTGAGTATTTTCCTTAAATATAGTGTCATTATTAATTAATGTGAAAGAAACTTTCTTTTGTGTGCTGTGTCTATTGAAGAGTTCAGACTTTAGTAAAGAGAGTTATTGTTCTGCTGACATTTGTGGGAATTTGTACAGTTCCCTACTGTCCAAGGTATTGTTTTGTACATTTTCTGATGATATGCTGCTCAGAGGTAGAAGTCAAAGGTAAGAAAAAAAAAATCCTATACTCAGAGGATTGTTGTAGGGGATTTAGAGTGAACTTAAACCAAGAAAATGAAATCCTAAACGGTACTGATAGGGTTAACCCAGGGCCTCTTTCTTTTCTTTGCTTTGAAATAAAGACGCAGGGTCAAAATTGGAAACTTAAAAGATAGTTTGTTTAGGATGTTGAATTGGAAAAGTTTTTTTTTTTGCACAAAGATTCTGGGCTATCTGAAACAGGCTTCCCAGCCATTCTGAAAGTCCTTTTAAAGAAATGGCAAGATGACTGTATATTTAGCTACCAAACCACAAAATAAGCAAGACAGACTTAACGGCTTCTTATTTTCAACCTTGCTTCTGTTCACTCAGATTGCTCCAGTCAATTGTATAAATCGTTACTCACCGGGTCATTACTGAATTTGTTTTCAATTGATGCTTGTGGTGGGAAAAAAAAAAATTAGAGAATAGCTCGGGGTTTGCCAGAATAGTACATAAGAAAAATGTAGGCTGACTGTAGGCTGTCGAAACAGAGAGAGTCCTTTTGGAAAATGATGCAATAAAACGTCAGCCATTATGCGTGCTGTTTCTGAAGGCTAGACTGAGAATGTGAGAGTGCTCTGAATAGACTAATAAATAACGTGGACAGCTCTGTGAAATCGAGACGGACTTCTGAAACTCAAAGTGTAAAAGATCATCCTCTTATCACATGAGAACAAAAGGGGATTTTGTCACATATTAGAAGTGGAACATGTTACAACCCCAGCTACACTGCAGATAAACTTTTTAAGGCATTTTCCTATTTCTTTGCAAGCCAACAGCTGTGTCATGTTCACAAAGAAAGATGGATGGTTACTGATTATAATGATCTCAAAAAGAGGTATTTAAAGCCAAACTACAGTAAAACCACACTTGACCTTCACACAGAAGGACTCAACTGGAGTGATGTCAGCCCACTCATCAGTTGGTGGATTATGTAATAATAAGGCAATAGGGCTCTGCAAAACAGAGGTTGCCTATAAGTTGTTGAATCTGTCATGTGACTGAAAGACAATGTATTACAATGTATCAAAGCTCAAAGAAAACACTTTACTGAGGGTATACAAAGTCTGTGGCATTATGTGCTGGATTTATTGCAGTTGGGTGGTGCTTGTAGATTTTCTGTGAGCATTATGTTAAACTTTACCAAGCTATAATTGTGAAAACATAGTGGATTTTTCAGCTTCTCGATCCAAATATTAATAATAATAACAAACCTCTCTGGTAGTTGCTAAGGGTAACTGGTACATGTGAAAAAAACAGGTTTTGTGGGTTAAAATCTCTTTTGGAAACATTTGTTAATATGGTGGATCCCATTCATCCATGTGATGATGTCACTGTGCAGTCGAGGTTTATTCTACATGGGCTGTTTTCCTGAATGCAGTGAGTGAATATTCTTCACAAATGTGGAAGAGTATTGCAAATTTCTTTACTTCTTATGCAATAAAGAAAAGGGGGTTTGGTTTCAAAATTCAAAATAAAGCAAATGCTATGCACAATCAATGTAAATAAAGTTACTGTTCTTAATATTTAGGGATTCCATTTTTAATTTGAAATGGAAACTCAAGCTGTCTCCTGCCTGTTTGCTTAAAAGCAGACATTAACTGTGCTTGGATTTGCAGGGAAAGAAAAATGAATTATTTTAATTTAAATTTAAAATTATTTTTGTCAGGGATGAAGAGGTGCCTGTTTTTCAGATCTGGGTTTTAGATTCAGACTTTCTATGTAAAAACTTGCATTTTTCTTTAGTGTCTGTATACCATATTGCTTATATAGATTACAAAGTAATGTAAAGTAAGTAATTTTTAGATAATTGATAATGGCAAAGCTAACGGAGTATATCTCTGAATTGTTAGCCCTGCATTTTGCCAGAAATTCTCTAATGACATTCTTCAAAAGATGTGAGCCAATGTGTACTTGTATTGGGTGATTTAAAGTATGGCTATTGATTTACCTTGAACTACACCATAAAGCAGTCCAAAGTCTAGAGAGCAGTTACTGAAGAATGTAATGAAATACTTTTCCCCAGAAAAAGCATCTCAAAAGACCTTATGTCTTCTGATGATTTTTCATTTTGTGTTTATTGAGAATATTATTTTCCAGATTATGGTAATTAAACTGATTTCAATATAAAGTATAATTCTTGTACTTTTTCTACTTCTGTATAACCAGCGGTACTATATGTGTACTACAGTATGAAATAAAACACTTACTATACCTATACTGCAGGTCTTCCTATACTGCAAGCTTAGCTTTCCTTATTCATTTTGCATTGCTAGGATTTTTCTTCATAATTCCAAAATTTGTATGTGGAATTAAAATGTGAGTTGTCCGGTTTATGTACGTTTGTTTAATATGAAAAGCCTTTTACAAACGATCCACTTTGACTTCCTCATTGTGTTTGAGGCTACAGGCCTCTTCATTAATATTAAGTAACATCAGACACATACTGTGTTTTTAATTATTGTGTGTTTGTTATTTTTTAGGTCAATGTCCGAGTCACCACCATGGATGCAGAGCTGGAGTTTGCCATCCAGCCCAACACTACAGGCAAACAGCTCTTTGACCAGGTTTGTTCATACTGTTCAGTGGCTCTTTTCAATTCCTTGGTTTGCCTTATCAGAACCTCATTGTACTCGGGTTGCTGGTATGTATGGCAGTAAATGTTCTTATCTGCTTTTCTTCTCTGGAACATGTCATTCATTTAAAAAATGCTAGTACGGGATGGGTCATTTCCTTTTCTTTTTACAAAAAGGACTTATGCAGGAGAGAAGATATTAGCTGTATCTAAGAAAAAGCAAATATTTAAGAGGCCCTTTTCTTTTCAAATCACAATGAGATGTTAACAAATAGTTTCTAAGGATTGACCTCTGTACTTTTTTTTTTTAACACTGGAGCAATGCAAGGCAGACCTTCAATACTGGTGGGGCCAGAAAACCACAGTATGCAGATGCAGTATGCATCTTAAACCTCATTTAGGAAATGTAAGCTTTCATTTTTTTTTTATTGAGTTTTCATATTGTACACAAAACCTCATGCCTACCAATTCCTATGTAGGACTGCTTAATCAAATTGAAATGGGTTTTATCAGGAACATGCAATATTTGGTGTACGATATACTCAGGATTTGTCCAAATAAATCACTTTTAGGTTTAAGTGGCAAATTTCTGATTTGATCAGATTGAAGGAGGTTTTGCACTCTCTTCAAATGTCAAGAATACCAAAAAGGCACAGTGATAGAAATGATAGAAACTTGTTTTGTGTACATAAGAGTAGCTGTCATTTTGCAACAATAAGAACTAGGCAAGAATTTTACTTGTAATTATACTATTGACTGTCATCCTGCTCCTACTGCTGCTTCAGAGGACCGTGTGGCTCATTGTGTGTAAAAGGTTTTATGCGAACAGGGCTATGAGTTCGGAAATTAACCCTTTCCTGAATGACAGTTTTTTTGTATACATTTGTGAAACTGGGATTTCCCTCTGTTTTTTTAATTGAATGTTTCCTTTAGATAAACTGTAAATGCTTTAGTATCTGAAGTATAATGTGCAATATTTACTATGGTATGGATGCACACGATTCTTTGGCTTCCAAAGAAACATCTAGGTTTTTGAAACTCCAACCTTCCGAGCATATGTTTTCTACCTGAGGTGCGTCAGACTGTGACACTGCTCTTTGTGGCATTTTACAGAATTAGACTGTAACTAACCTTGTTGGGTGTGACAAACCTGTTAGAAATGCAATTAACTCCCTTTAATACCCACATATTTGGGGAAACGTGCTTGGGAGTCTTGTATAAAGTTACTCAGAATAAATGTACGTATTCCGTTTTTGTGTACAGTACTAAGAAAAAGAGGTTTTGATGATGAATGCAATGTAGCAGCTGTCTGTGTTTTATTTGGAATGGTTCTCTATTGTTTGAGCACCTTTTTATACAAGATTGGAACATTCAGTGCAGGTTAGTTTGTGCTTATTATACCTGTGGGCTGATGTACAAAGAAACAGGCTCTGGGAACAGATCAGTATTGCCTAGGAACACATTGAAGGTTTTAATACCACTAGAAGGTAGGCCATGCATATGATAGTAAGCATGGTTACTTTTGAAAATAAAAGCTAGTTTATGAGAATGTGAACTTCAGTTTATGGAACAGTTCCATATATGCATTAAGAGGTGAATAGTAGGGAGTGCTTAAGTTTTGTCCCCTCAATTTTTTTTCTTTTATCATTGTAAATATGGGAAATGGTGAAGACACCCACTCTCTGATGCATAAGGCATGCCTTCTTTATAAAATCAGTTTTGTGTATGTCCTAGGTAGCAAGGAGATATTGCATCAATCATAACACCTTAGAAACTCACTCTCAGCCCTACTAAGCCATTCTGTCTCCTGCTACAGCCACACCTAAGAACTTCAACAACTTTGAAGCCTGACTAGGTTAGGCATAACGTGAGGAATGACAGCCTATCCCTTCTGATGCATTCAAAAAATATTTTTAAGTTACAGAGGTCCAATTTCTTTTTTTAAAGGCCAGATAGCCCTCCTTTGTTGTATAATACTACAGTAATTCTCCAGTTGATCTGCTGCACTGATAGGGAATGGAAGATGTCTCAGTAACAGCTTTAATTATATTTTTGTAATAGGAATAGATTACAATACAGTTGCTCTTCTAAATCACTCCATGCCTGAAGAAGCCTAAACATTCTCTTTTCCTTTAAGGATGGCATAAACCTTTACCTGTTCCTCTTCTAAATCACTGTGTGCGTTGCTAATTGAAACATATACGTTTATGTATGCTTGAAACCCTTCATAATTTTGACATAATTTTCCCTATGTGAATTTAGCAGTTGAGAGCCCTTTTCCTGTCCTGATGAATGTTTGTGCTTCACAGAACAGGTTGCACTTGAATTGCAGCAGTTTAGATGAGTGGAATCTTGAGAGCAGTTTTGCTGTCTCGGTTTTGACTGGGTGTGCCAATCCAGAGACCGACCACGGAGCTCTGCATGAGTCAGAGGATACAATAACTAATGTGGTGTAGGAGAAGTGGCATTCTATTTAGAATTGAACTTGGCATAACAGAAATGTTGTAACTTAAAGGTCTGTATTCAGGACATTTTGCAGCGTTAGTCAAGTAACTTTTTATCATTCTGCAAATACCATTAAGGTGGCCTGTTACGACGCAATCAATAATTTTGTTCATTAAGGAGGTGGTTGTGTCAGCGTTTTAGCTGAATGTGATTGACGTAAAGTCGTTAAATCTGCAGCATGGTGAAGTGACTCATGCCACACCCAAAGTGCTTTACTTTTTTAACAGCGGGGACAGTTATGAGTGTATTTACGAGTATTGCTGAATAAATTTGCGTTAGGTTTTATTTAAGACTTTGTGTTTGCAATTGTGTTTAATGTGCAAATTATGTTTAAAGTGGTTTCTCAATGAAAACATGGCCCCTTCATAACTTAGTTAATGTTTGGTTGCTAAAACAAACTTAAAATAAAGCTAATTTTAAGATCCTGTTATTAATGATATTAAAGTGCACAATGAGCTTTATAGCAACTTTTAGTACAACTTATAATGAAGCAAACAACTAATTGGAGTGAGGAGCTCACATTTGAGCTCCATTCCTTCCAGGGTTCTCAATTATAAAATGAAGACAACAAGGCTTTCATTTTGAAAATTGTTTTTAAACGTCACTTCCTAGCAATTGGAAGTGAAAAAAAGATGTTTCCTAGTTGCAAAAATTGTATAAAATCTTTCATTGTTCTGTCCTTTTAAGTTGCAATTTTGTTTTCCTACAAGTTAGAGGACAAAACCACTTTATGAAAAAAAAAACAATTGTGTTCTGAATTATAAGCTTCTTTTAATTAGAGTTAAGGTGAAGCCAGACTGTTTTTATCATTTACTGTAAGTTAAACACTGTTTGTGGCGGGACCCAAGGATTCAGATAATTTCCAACCCTTTTCTACAGAACCTGAATTTAGTACTGAGATTTATTCAATAAGGGAGTGTTTCAGTTGAGTTTTGGCATTAACCTTGCATTCAGTAGAAATCTGATAAACCAGGCTTGGCCTGAGTGCTTTTAATATTTGCACATACTCCAAAAAACTTCCCATTTGTGACTAGGAATGTGTGCTTTGCTGTTGAGATAAGGAGGTTCAGAAAGACTTACCAAAGCAATAAATAATATTCTATAGAATTACTTTGGATCGGATGCAGTAATTTCTCTTGAAATACAGTTGGTGCTTAAACACATATGGAACCGAATTTCAGTTAATTGCTTGATTATAATTGATAAAAGGGCTTTTATAAAATACATACCTAAAGATTTTAACCATACACAACTGCATGTATTAATTTACTGAAAAATAGCAAACTGAACCTCATTCAAAGCTTGGGAGGGTTTGGATGTTGTTACATGTTTTTGTTTTTATCCCCTTTGGTCTTTAATCTGAGATCTACACTGGAAAAAGATATATTGACTAGAAAGGCACAGCTGATTCTTTGCCAAAAGGCCATAATTCATTTGTTTTGGCAGTGTTGAGAAGATGCAATAAGCCTTTATTTCTAAATCCATATAGGAGAACAGGAAATGACTTGTCTTAATGTAAAACAAAATGTAATGGAGAAGTACATACACTAAAAACCAGATAGATTGGAAATAGGGTCTTTATATCACAACTCCAGGTCAACAGAATAGAGAAAAACACTGTAATATTCTTTGAGAAAGTTGTTGTTAATCTGAAATGTCTTTCTTATCCTCCTAATATTATAATCCTCATACCTAAGGGATCAGGATATTAAACAAGTATAGCTATTGCATGCCAATAATGGGATTTGTAATGACCTGTTTTAATTACTGAGTTGTCAAAAGTGGGAAAGTAATGTGTTGACATGTTTTCTTATTTTTAAATCTGAGGCAATTAAAGAGGGGACTCCCAAGGGTATCTTTAGAACTTGTAAAATAGGTGATAACATACAAGATTTTACTAAATTCTTCAAGTTTCCCTTTAGCACATCAGATATTTTGTACTGTCATTACTCACAATTGCCTTATTCCTATTCCTAAACAATTCTTTAATCTTGACTGTTTCTTTTTAATTTGAATGTTACTGTTCAGTGGTTTGAAACTTTTGCATTAAGCTACATTACAACATTGCAGTTGTTTGACCAACCAATTCTTTATTGATTTTATAATTGCTCTGTTATATCTTTTATGGCATTCCCTGAATAGTGACGCACATCAGCCATTATGCTATAGAACACTTAAAAAAAAGAAATTTCTTCGCCAATTGAAATAAACGAAAAAAAAAATAGACTAGATTGTTCAAGACAAAGCAGAATTTAACCAGAATAAATAAAGAACAGGTCATAACACCCCTTTTCATATGAAGTTTGACATGGGATCTTTTAATAATTAAGTACTCGGGATCTTGTGTACTTAACTACATCTCCTACAGCACAGTGTCCCTATTTTTTCCAATGTATTTCTTTTTGTAGTGCTACATTTTTCCTCCAGCTGGAGTGTAGCATGACTCTGGGATTGTTCTGTGATTCTTTGCAGGTGGTAAAGACCATTGGAATACGTGAAGTGTGGTATTTTGGACTTCAGTATATGGACGGGAAGGGATACCTCACCTGGCTGAAGCTTGATAAGAAGGTAAATGTGCTGCATTTTTTTAAGGGTTCTTGTGTCTTTGTTTAGCAGCATTCAAATTCTGCTTTTTCTCCCTCCTGTGATTGTGAGCATTGAGATAGTTAGTAGCTGTTCTAACCTTTGGCCAAATGCTGGTGCTTGTTCATGTTTGATTGTGGAGAGCTTTGTGCTGATGCAGCAGCCAGTTCCACACAGCGTAGCAGTTTCACTGGAAGGTTCTGGGGCCGAGAGAGCTCCTATTCAGTTTGACCATTGTGTTTTGTTTCATTTAAGTTGGTGTTTTTTTTTTAATTTCAGGGTAGGGTTCAAGCTAGGTTACAGCTTTAGTTTTAACCTAACTTTAGATGAAATATGCATTTTCTAGGTTATTATTTAGTCTCCATATATTTGTGATCAAATTATTCCCAGGTTTGGTGGATGTCTTTTTTTTTTTAAGGACTTTTGGCTGAGAGACAAAGCTGGACTGTTATATTAGGGTCAATGGGTGATAAATTTGGTAATCAGATTTAATTTGACTTTCAAAGAAATTCACATTTGATAGATAGATACTTTCTTGATCCCGTGAGGGAAATGTGCTCAGAATTGCTATAATGTACTTAACTGGCACAGTTATTTGTTGAGAGCACAAGGCCTGCCATTCATTCTCTACTTTGAATATATTTTCAAACTTTGTTTCCCAACAATATCAAATCACTCTGAGCAGGTGTCTTCCTAAGTGAGATAAATGTGTTGTCATGGGGTTGGGCCATGATGTGACAGTCCCACAGCAGGAGCGATACCAGTTCAAATGTCACACAATCACCAGGATCTCATGATTGCTGTGCTTGAAAAATATATTCTGAAGATTTTTTTATTAATTAAAAGGACCACAACTGAAAAGAAACATTGTATCATATAATATGATTATCCCTTGTGCTGATGGTGATTACCACAACTGTTCAGATTTTAGCATCTTAGAGGACAAAGTATTTTCAAAACATGCATTGCATATGCTAAACTGAGGGATTTTTTTCTTTTTAGAGCAATTTCCCATCTTGTGCAGTACTAGTACAGTTTTCACCCTTGGGGAATAAATCACAATAATGCTTTGATAAGTAATCTATATGCTTGCAATAATTTGTAAGAGTGAAAACAGATAAGTAAGCCAAAACTAACCTGTTCATGGCCAGTTAAACCAGCATTCTTAATGAGTATTTTCTGTACTTGAATATTGCTTACACTTTTCCTAATTCTCCCAGTTTGTTTTTCATTTTCTCTTCCTTTAAAATGAATCAAAACTAAAAATGTTGCTGATTTTGTTGTGATATAAAATCTGTTGCTTGTTTGTCCTGTTTATGTTAAAAATCTGTGGTTTCTTGCCAAATATTTTGTTCTCCTCTTTCAGGAAGTGAATAAGTAGGAAGCAAAAACTAAACTTGTTAAACCCCGAAAACAAAAAGGGTCTCGAGTTTCAGGACTTGCTCAGTCTGTGCCAAGATCTGTTTATTTTTCTTTTCACTTGGAAAAAAACCCTAACAACTTAGGAAGCAAAACAAAAAGTACTCCTCTCTCTTTCTTTCTTCTTTCTCTATCTTTTCTCTTGTCGTCCAGGTATCAGCGCAGGATGTGAAGAAGGAAAACCCGTTTCAGTTCAAATTCCGTGCCAAATTCTTCCCCGAGGACGTTTCCGAGGAGCTGATCCAGGACATCACCCAGAAGCTGTTCTTCCTGCAGGTGAAGGAGGGGATCCTCAGTGACGAGGTCTACTGCCCCCCAGAGACTGCTGTTCTCCTGGCCTCCTATGCAGTTCAAGCCAAGTATGGGGACTTCTCTAAGGAAGTTCACAAATCTGGATACCTGGCATCAGACCGTCTTCTACCTCAGCGGTGAGTGTTGGGCCCTCTGCGTTGTGCTTTAATGCGATTGAATGGGCTCGAGCTTCTTCCAGCCCCTCAAGAGGGGGGTCGCCTTTCTTCTTTGGCTATTTTTTAAATTCCCCCCACCACCACTACCACACACAGCCACTGTGCTTTCATTTCATTCCTTATTAATTGGTCTTTCTCTCTGCAGTGTTCTGGAACAGCACAAGCTTTCCAGAGAACAGTGGGAAGAACGTATTCAGGTGTGGCATGAAGAACATCGTGGAATGCTGAAGTAGGTTGAGATGCCATAACTGTGCCCAGCAGTCACCCTTCTTCTCGTTACGTTGTCCTTGAGTAAAGCGTTGAGCCTGTGTTTGATGACATGCTACATACTCCCTTCACACGGGTCATAAAAGTTGTTGCTGATAATTGAGTTCTTGCACCAATGTTGTTGAATAATCCAGTTAGTGAATGAGATTGAGATTCAGGATAATGACCTAAAAATAAAAAGGTTTTTACCCAAGAAGGTAACCCAGACCGGTATTTACACACAAGCATCTCAAAAAGGACCTTGCATCTTCTTGAGTTTTAATGTGTGCTGTGTATTATGGGAGTGGAAAACTTCGATTTATAATGAGAGCTATGATGTCTGGTAATAATAATTATATATGTTTTTATTATGCTACTTAATTTGAAAAGCAATGAAAAAAGTAAAACCATCTGCAATGAAAATATTCATCCTTTCCTGTTATTGTAGAATAATGTTATAAATAATATTTATGATTAAGACTGAATTGGCTTTGCTATACAGACTGGGACCCTTTCAAAATAATGTTTACGCTTAACAGGGAAGGCTTTGAATTTACAACCAGTCACTTCAATGTTACTTATATTTGAACAGGGAAGATGCCATGTTGGAATACCTGAAGATTGCCCAGGATTTGGAGATGTATGGAGTAAACTACTTTGACATCAAAAACAAAAAAGGAACAGACCTCTGGCTGGGAGTTGATGCCCTAGGTCTTAATATTTATGAGAAGGATGACAAGTAAGCTTCACTTTTCAGTTCAGCTCTGTGATTTACATTTTTTTTAGTAATCATGATACAGCAGCTTAAAGGGCTAGCCTTAGTTTTCTCATTAGCTGCCCAGTCAGTCTTGGCTGGGTTAGACCAGGATAGTAGAAGATTTGAGCAAGAATCTAGAATATTCCTTTCTCCAGTCTGAGAATTCTTGCTCCATTCCTCATTGTCCTCATTGATCATACTTATGTTTCTGAAGTATGTGGTTTCTGCCAAGCTGCTGGTCTGCTCATTCCAGGACAAACTTATTTCAGTGTATGAAAACCTGGTTTGACCCAATGATATAAATAAATGAATGTTCATACGTATTCATTTTTCCTTAAGCGTGTCCGACTGTGTGGGGATTTTGTGCAGTGTATGACTACTGCCAATGTCACGCAAGGTGGCCTAGCGGCTCAAGAGCTTTCAAGCACATATATATTTTTCACAAGCTCTGTCGGATGTTGTTCAGTTCTCATGCCAGCCTGGGGTTTTTGAACTCGTTGGTCCTGTCAGTCATGCTCTTTCAGTCATTGACCCTTCCCGGCACCACAGTGTGCCAAGTTGCCTTTCACTTGTCACAGGATGTTGACACTGCTTTACCTGAAACCGTTTTGTTCCATTGAACATCATATCTTCTCGGACCTTTTCCTCGTTTCACAGACACACACCAATTGCAAGAAGCAGAATAAAGCTCATATGGAATTTTCCAAAATGGACAAAATACATTTTTTAGGATGTAGAAGATGTTAACAGTTGCAGCCTAAGATGCTTTATAATTTCAAAGCAGTGCATCTCTTTAATAACTTCAAAGAAAATAGTAAATCTTCATTAAGTGTGTCATATAAATGCCAAAGGCATTATGAAATTGAGATATACTTCTCTACAACTTCATAACCCATGCAAAATATAAGATCTGATGCGTATTGGAATCTTCTCTTATCTCTACAAGAAGAGCTCAGCATACTTCAAACAACAGACGAAAGGAGTTTGTCTCATGCCCAGATATACATTACTTTATAATTACAACCAGTTTACGAGGAGATCAACACAAAGTTCACAGAACATTAAAGAGATTATATTATACCTTTTTTAAAAGAGTTCCCTGCTCTAGAACTCGCATATGAACCAGAGAGCGGAGATTAGATAGACTCGTTGAGATTTCTGTCCTTATGATTGTAGAGTAATATCAGGCGTGAAATCAAGATGTAGTTGGCATTGTGCTTAACACTTTACATTCATAGGTGTGAGGTGGGACAGTGAAAGAATACGATCTTTTCTATGGCGAAAACAGAGATTTGATTATGAATGAATATGTACACCGATGTGTTGAACAAGAAATGAAGTTTCATATACTGTATCTTTATCGTTTCTGAGATGTAAATGTGTATCTGTCATAGTGAACTAGGAGATCAGCTCAAGGTTTACAGAACATTGCAGAGCAGTCAGTATACATTATACTCTGCGAAATTGAGGATATACATTTTTTAAACATGAGTACAAGGAAACAATCATATTTTCTGTTTCATTTTTTAAATTTTTTACCCATTGAGCTCCAAATTCCATGTTGCTTTTAAGTGGGAGGTTGAAGCTACAAATAAAGATGTTTCATTGACGATTTATATTTTAATGGATTGTGGTAAACTAACAATAGGTTACCATAAAACACACGTTTCAGGCTTTTAAAACATTTTTCCTCTTTTCCTGAAGCTCTTTACATTTCCATGGAGATACAATGTTAAGGACTTAAGGGGTAACTTGCAGTCATTTAAAATTTCTGCTTAGTGGGTTTGTCCAAAATTAAATTCAAATTCATTGTTGTTGGCTAATTGGGTTTTATATAATGTTATGTCACATTGCAGACTTGATATGTTTAAAATACTTTATATCTATGCCACAATGGAGAGCAGAATTTTGAAGAAGGCCTTCTTTTACTTCTACAGATATTCAGATATACAGATAAACTACAAGTTTTTAAATTAGGATGTATGTAGTTTACAAACAAGGTGCTGTTTCTGATACAAAGGGTGTATTTAAAGTGTATTTAGGGTTCATAATATGTATTTGCCTTCAATTTGATTTATCTCAAGAGGGCAAATGGATCTACTAAATGGATCAATATATTTAGATTTTAAAATTTTAAGTCATGGTGTGTAAACATTAAGGCCTGCCCAAATATTGTTATGGATACATTAATAAATTTGAACATGGATGTGACAAGCTAATGCTTCCCTTGAGTGGCGAAGGGCACATTCTGGAAGAGCAGTAACCCTTAGTCACTACAGATTTGTCCATCTCTTTTTAGCTTAACAGCGACTTTTGAGAGAGCGGTATAATGAATGTCTCTCTCCCACATGCCCTCAGTAGTCACCATGGATACCCAGACTGGTTTATCAAGCTGTACAGCGTTCCAGAATGTGGGGCTAGCATAAAACCAGGCCCTGTGTGCGCCAGGAGTCATACAATGCTCCTTCCTGAGAGAAAACAATCTTGCTTATCTTAACTCTTTAAAGACTGGACATACTTGTTTTTAATATTTCTCTTTTTTAAGGCCTACCATTCTGTTTGGTGGCATGACTCCTTGGGAGACAGAGCCTGTCTCGGCAAGCAACCATCACAAGGCAGGATACCCCCTGGTTGGGCAGCCAGTCCATCACAGGGCAGACAGACACAGACAAATACATTCACACCAGGGCCAATTGTCCCTGACGTCACCAGCGTGTCTTTGGACTGTGGGAGGAAACCCATGTGAACATGAGGAGAACATACAAACTCCATTCAGATACTAGCCTATTAACTGAAACCAGTGCTGCAATGCTATGAGACAACAATGTCAACCACTGTCACCATGCTTTCTAATTTTAGCTTATGTTTGTCATTAACTACAAAGTGAATGCTGAAACATTTGACAGGTGCCTTTATATTTGGTTTCATGATGCAGGTGGCATAAAAGTTTCTTTTATAGGTGTTAAATGGGATAGTGAACGTTTCTAATAATGCAGTGTAATTCAAGGCATCCTAATACATATTATTATGCATTCTTCATTTCAGGTCTGGTATTCCAGAATTCCTTAGAGAATAAGGACTATTTAAGCTTTTGAAAAAACAAGATGATCCTGGAAGGTGTTAAGAACAAAACTCTGAAGTAGTGTAATTAAAGAGCTACAGTACCACTGTGCCTTGATAAGCCACACCCCAGACTCTTGAATTTACTGCTCGTTTAATTTCCTTTGAGGGAACATCTCAGATTAGCTGTGTTTAGAAATGTCACAAAGGGAAATATAATTGGGAAATGTATATTGAAATGAAAAGCTTGGCTATCAAACTAATAAATAATGATATCGAGTGTCATGATGATATTACAAGCTAAGACACATGTAGAACTCAATTTTGTTCAGTATGAATTGGATGTTCAAGGCTTTTTGAAAACTTTTATAACCTGTGTTCTGTTAAAGAAGTGTGTGTCTTTCATAATGAATACCTTCTTGTATAATCATGAGTGTGTTTGCCCCCCTACCGTGGAGTACATAAGTCCTTATTATATTTTATATATTCAGCATGATTTTCTTAGCCCTTTTTTAGGTTTTAATTTTAATTTGCTTCTTCCAGACTGACTCCAAAGATTGGATTTCCCTGGAGTGAAATTAGGAACATCTCCTTCAATGACAAGAAGTTTATTATAAAACCCATTGACAAAAAGTCTCCAGTAAGTAAAATACATTTTTGGACAATTCAACAACACAAGGCAGGTGGTCTGTACAAATAAGGATTACTACATATTTTATCTATGTAATATTTCTGTAGAATGCAGGAAATATGTCGAAGAGATGTAGGTTATGCATTCATGAAGTTGTATTCAGATACTGTATGTAGCAATGTTTTTCACAGGCTTGACCTTCAGTTGTTCTGTTAAATGAGTCCAACAGTGAGAGAAACTCACTGCTCAGCAGTGAAAGCTGCTGAACATGCCACATATACTGAGAATGGGAAACAATGTGGAAAACGGAGGGGGGAAAAGAACATTGAAATCCATAAAATGCTTTTTCTTTTTACTTGATGAAGGGTGTCCTTGTGAATTAGTAACCTGCACTGCTGAGAGTGGGAAGTAATTTCAGCAACATGAATTAAGACAGTAATTGCAGCTATTTTATTTCCTAAAGTGAATGCTAAAAGCATTTCAAGTTGGTAAATATAGATATTTATATACTTGAAAGTCCTGTTCTTCAGTCCAAGTAAAAACTATTGTATCCATGATTCTTACAGCTTTAAAGCACCTTTGCTGAAGGGCCTACAGATTTTTTTAAAGTCTGGTGTACTGAAGTTTCCATAGAAATGCGGGAAATCATTCCTTATTTAGGAAGGGGCGATCATTAGGGTTTCTAAGACTTCTGTAAATCTCTATAAAACTGTCATCTAGAATATGAGCACAATTTGGATAAAAATGCATAAATATGTTGGTGTCATATAAAAATAACTGCTTTTGCTGCTGTTCTCTTCACATATCCATGTGATCAGCTGAAACAATGGCAAGTCTATTTAACAATGTCAACAGTAACCTGGCCATGGTCCAAAATGTGCTTTTACAGATAGGGCATTTGATATGGTAGTTCGCTTGCTGTTCATGTGGGATACCTTGGGAATGCTATGAATATGCAGAGTTTATCGTCTCTTTACGTACCAGGAGTCTTATGACTTTACCTAAAAGAGAAGATTACAGCTATTCAACTGAACAAGCAGAATTGTAATGACTCCAAATCATATCAGTTTAGCCAGTAAAGTACGGTGGCTTAGGGTCAGCGCACAGGTGACATTTCCTATCCCTCTCAGAGGGTAGAGGTTTTGTCATCAATTAACCAGTCTCTTCACACTGGTTCTTAATGCAAAGGGCTTGTTATACTATTTTTGTAAATAGTAAATTGTCAGTGTCCTTTAATATCTGTTTGAATTCTGTATTTGCACAGTTGTTCCACTACCACCACCAGATCTGATAAATGTTCAGAAATAACAGAAGATTTCGTTATGAATAATGAGATTTTTTTAAACCATTGATCAGTTTTAATAAACTGTGTTAAAAGCAATGGCAGGCTTATTTAGTCCTGTCATCAGATTTTCATTTTTTCCCCCATGCCTCAAACACTGAAACGACAGATTGTTTCCAAACATACTGCTTACTTTTAATAACTGGTCTGGCTGGAGATAGTAGGAGCATGTTTTGAATGCTACAGTACAAGAGTGCCACCTGAAGGACATGGAAGAGAAATGCTCTTCACAGGCTGGTGCCTGAGAGCTCTACAAGCTTTTCTTTTACTATATATTGGTTACAATTTAAGCATCAAAAGGCGTAATAATGAAATATTTTCTGCCGATGTGTGATCTTGAAATCTATTACTCCAGATCATCAGGCTTGTGTAGTATGCTGTCTGGACAAATACCATTGAACAACAGCTGATTGAATTTGTGCCTTTAATCAAGAAAAGTTAAAGGAAATATCCTGAAGGTATCTTAATTGCCAACAGGAGCATTACATCGCCAGTTCAGTATCTTGATAGTAGTGTGGAGATTCGTGGTTCATATCCTAGTTTAAATAAGCTGATTTGGTATTTAGATGTGATCTCTTTGACTGGAAGTAAAAACTTGGATCTGTAGCCATACAGTATTTGTCCTGTGGTAACAGGTGTAGGTGCAATATAAGAATTTCAGAGGCAAATTTAAGTTTGAATAGGGAATAAAGATTGAAAGGTAGGAAGGTGAAACATGAAGGTGGGAATTCAGGCAGGCCTGAATAAAGGCTCATTGTTTGTCGCCTTTAATTTGTGTATTTGCTCTGCGTATCTCTCAGGACTTTGTGTTCTACGCTCCCCGTCTGCGAATCAACAAGCGCATCCTGCAGCTGTGCATGGGGAATCATGAGCTGTACATGCGCCGCCGTAAGCCTGACACCATCGAGGTTCAACAGATGAAGGCCCAGGCCCGTGAGGAGAAGCACCAGAGACAGCTAGAGAGGTACTGTGCACTTGTTCTGTCTTTCTAGACCCCGATTCACTTCTCACCATACAATTCACTAGGAGCCACTGCACATGTGATACTAAGTGAGGAAAATTAATTATAAGTCATTAGTCTAATTAGAATAATTAACAATTAGTCTTGAGGTCTAATTTTTTTTTTATTCTTTAGTCCATAGCCACTCACTGGTAGCTTCCAGCTCAGGACTTTAATACTGCACTGTTGGGGGAAAAAAATCTTGCCTTTGTATCCTTGAGTTTCATTTGGGGAATATACATTTGTGATTGACACATTTTTTGCTTGCCATTCTTCAAGCACACACACAGCAGACTAGATGATCTATTCAACCGTTCACGAACAGTGCCCCTTTTCGTGTTTGCGTGTCTGGCGACAGAGGGGAGCTGAAACATGGCTTTCAGAGCACAGGAAGACTCTCATTACAGTTTGTTCTTACTTTATTGTATTAAAAGGTCATCAAAACCATTGTTTTTACAATACCACATGGGAAGAGTAACATGAACCTTTGTGTAAATGCTCAACATGGTTTTCTTTACTAATATTTGCACAGATTGAAAATATTAGTTTTTCCTCCTCAAAGATAATTGAGTAAATGACATACAATAAATTGTATTGTGACGGTACAATTGTAAGATGAGAAATGTATTTGTATATTGATCATCTCAATAATTCATGAGCAGCTTAAAACTGTATTTATGTATAGAAGGTATGGATACATATTCATTCCTTCATTTTGTCTACCCTTTCAGAAAATAAATAGGATCCTGGTTGCATTTTACTTTTACTTGGTGCCTATATGGCTCATAACTATTTAGTAGTATGATTTTAATATGGTAAGTGTAATGAGTAATAGTAAGATTTTTTCTACATTGGACGTATAGCTTACAAAGATAAGTACTGTCTGAAAATTGGAATACGGCAACATTATATATTTTTCTTCAAAGGATAATTTTAATAGAGTTATAATTAATTCCGTGCGTACCAGAATTTGATTACTCACCACAACAACCTTTAGTAACAACCTGATTAGCTTAATCTGATCTTATTATTGGCCTGAATTCTGACTCAAGTTTTATATTATTATAAGTAGTAATAGCATTTGACTTCTTGATTAGTGTTTGAAAATAAAAATGTTTGGTGAAAATCTTATTAGACTGATGTACAGAAAGCCGAATACATTAGAATTGTTCTTTTTTTTAAAAATCCTTCATTATATTGAAAATACACTTAATTGCAATGAATGAGTGCACAAGGGTGCCAAAAGTGACTGTCGGTGTGGAGTTATATCAGCACTGCTGTGGAGATTAACCTGATGGTCACCAGTGTCCCTCGAGTCCAGCCAAGAACAACTAAAAACCCCAGTTGGTGGGAGTGTAGTCTCAGCAGCACCCTGCACTCTTTATACAGGGGTGCGTTTGCTTTGTTGTGTGTGTGTGTTAGCACCTGTCACTTTCTGGATTTATTGTGTCCTGGTGCTTTGTCAATGCTGGGGTTTCTTATCTGCAGAGCCCAGCTGGAGAACGAGAAGAAGAAAAGGGAGGCCATAGAAAAGGAGAAGGAGCAGATGGAGCGGGAGAAGCAGGAGCTGATGTTAAGGCTGCACCAGTTTGAGGAGAAGACAAGGAAGGCAGAGAAAGGTAAGGGCCATGGAGTGTCTAGAAAGTGTCTGTATGTCTGCTATCTCTGTATGGGTTGCAAAAATAATTTGAAGATCGTTTTTTTTTTTAGTCTTCTGTGAAAAAATAAGCATAAAATTGTGGCTTCACATTTATGCCTTGTGGTGTTTATGGTGTTAAAAATTAAGTAAGTTAATTATGCAATTTAAAACACTGGGGTACATGAGGCCATGAGGCACAGGTTTGCTATTGGTATTCTTTTACTGTACTACAGTGATGTACAGAAAATGTCCTGGGATGAGGAGAGGGCCTGGCCAGGCCGTTACTTTCCCAAAGTAGACATATGCATCAGAAATCTATCTGATCAAGCGATCTGGTAAATTCTGTGGACCACTTGTTTTTGGAATAATTTTTTTTCCACTACCATGTCCCAGTCGGGGTAAAAAAACAACAACAAATTCTTGTAGTTTCTTTGACAGGATTTTCACCTTGAACATACTGTTTTAATGCCTTTTAGTCACATAGAGGATTTTGGTAACTTGTCTGACAGCATTATGCCCTCACTGCTCCTGTGCAAGTACACTAAAATATTATTTTTATCAGACTTACTGCATCTGCCTTATAAAATAGCCCCCCTTTTTATTATAATTTAATTTATTAGATTCCTAACACTTGTGCTGGTTACAGCTCTACTATTTGGTCCAGTGTGCTGTAAATATGGTTGAGACTGCTATACACAAGTATCCTTGCACATTAAATTGTAAATCCAGTAAAACTCCAGTTTCAATGATGTCACCTGGCCCAGTTCCCACCTGGAAGCACATTTCGCTGTGCTGCGCGAGAACGAGTGGGGATGCCCACCGTGTCCCCTCACGAAGCCAGTGGGGGTGCAGCGGCGCGGTATCGTGCTCTGCCGCTGGGCGTCGCTGAGGGTCTGCGTGTGCTTTTGCAGACCTGCAGGAGCAGATGCAGAGGGCCATGCAGCTGGAGCATGAGAGGAGGAGGGCGGAGGAGGACGCTGCGCGGCTGGAGGCCGAGCGCCAGGCTGCCCTCCTCGCCAAGGAGGAGCTGGCCAGGCAGGCTGAGGACCAGATGAAGAGCCAGGAGCAGCTGGTGAGCAGGTTTTCCCCGCCAGCAGGGAACTGCACACCTCCTGTTCGCTGTCTGGTTTCCTTGAGTATTCTCTTAAACTTGGCATTTGACTTGGAAGTTTTGCTTTCTGACATCTGCCAAGCAACCTCTCTTTACTGATCTGTCCTTGAGAAGCACATAGCATGTCACACAGTTCACTTCTTTTGAGCAAAAGAAATGAAGTTGAAATGATTCTTACATTATGGAAATGTGTAGCTCCCGGCTTTTTGTCTTCGGTTTTTATTTTCTAAAAACATATACAGTCATTAAGTCATCATTGGAGTCCAGTTGTGAAAAAGATTGACTTCTCTCTGGGTTTAGGATAATTCTTATTATTAATTAGAATGCTTTTAGACATTGTACAGTTATTTGGAAATGTCAACATTCATTTATGTAGGGTCTGCAGTATTATTTGACTTCTAGTGAAAATACGTTCACAGCAGGTAAAAATCTACTGCAAGCTACATTATGATACAGCAGCACTGAAATGTGTGGAACAGTATCGCCTGCAAGCTTTGCTTGAGGGATTTTTGAGGCAATGATGGCGGCTGCGATAGAGGGTGAAGAGGAGTTCATCTTGTTTCGTGATTGGCAGAGGTTTAGCACTTTTAACTTGAAAACGGAATCCAGAAACAGTAAAGCGAGGGCCACGGTAAGCAAAATGTTTTTTCCATAGGCTGCGGAACTGGCAGAATACACAGCCAGGATTTCTTTGCTGGAGGAGGCTAAGAAGCGCAAGGAAGAGGAGGCCGACACATGGCAGCACAGGGTGAGTAAAGACGCTCAGCACTGCAGGGTGCTGGCGGTTTGCTTCTCAACAGCAGGGGCCTCCTTCCTGTCTTCACTCTGCTGGCAAAGAGCTCAAGAAAAGCATTTTTAATAAGAAAATATTTTAAATAATCTTTGAGTAATTAGAGAACACAGACATGCACGATTTACTTGCAGCACATCAACTTAACAGTCATCACTGTCAATGTTTGAGGCTGTACCTCAAGAACGGTGTTGAAACTGTTGATCCTGACCTAGACTATTAGACTTATGAGCGTTAGACTACTACACAGACTCTGCTTACTACATTCTCTAAGAATTTTTAAAGACTCACTGTGCCAAGGCAGTCCAGGTAGTTTGCAGCTATTGGTACAAGGCAAGTACCTCTATCACAAATAGTCTGTATGAACACAGATTAAATGCACTTCTAACAAGGAAAAACTTTTGAACAACGGACAACAGTCTGAATCATGATTGAAAATGTGTGTGTACTACAGTTTTAAGTATTTATACTATAGTAACATTTGTATTAAATTGTACATAGTTAAACAATATTTCTTGTCTTAAAAGCTGAAATTGTTATATAAACCCAGATATTTTCCTGTATATATTCCTTAAAGATGTATTTCTATGAGGTGGAATCCATTATTATTAAGCATTAATAAGCATGTGAAAATCTGAGTTTGGTATATATTTTGCTTGATAGACACATCTTGTTGAAGCATGCTTACTTTTATAATCACAATTGACATGCTCTGACAAATTCCAATTGGAAAAAATTGAATTATTCTAGGCCCGATACCTACTGTATAGTACATTTAAAAACAAGGGTCTAATAAGTATGAATATGATAGCGCCGATCTTTCTGTATAAAGCTATTTTTTTCAGTAGCTTTTATTTCTACACTTTAATACAGACCTTTCTATTAAATCATTCTCCAGATGTGAGCCGGGTGAATTTCACAATAAAAGTGGTCTCATTCAACCTATTTATTACTGTCTTTTTAGCCTTACTTTAGGACGTCTGTTGAAACATTCCTAGAGGTTGTTACAACCTGTGTTTCTTGCTTTCCTAAGAACCTGCCGCCTTTATTTTGTGACGCTTGAACCATGCTGTACAGCACTCACAGAACATTCTGTTCTGTGGCACTAAATAAAGGAACAATGCAAGGTCAAGGATTGTCTCATAGAAATACTAATAGGGGAGTAGTTTAAAATCTGCAAGAGGTGAAAGGCAGACATAAAACAAACTTATTTGCCTTTCTATTCTTTTCAAAATAATGTTCATTTAGCCAAGAAATTTCAGTTTTAAACCCTTTGTACAAGAAATACCGAGGGGAGGAAATAAATCCACAGCAGCACAAAAAACAAGTGAAACATCAGAATGCAGACAGATTGTTACAACAATGCGCCTCACTTAGGCTATCATAATGGGAAGACTAGTCTACTAATGGACAGTTAAATACAGATTTGTCATAATAGAAAGTCTTCAAAAAACGATAATTTGAGGTAGCAATTCCACAAGTTTACAATTGATTTTAGCCACTGATATGAAGAGTGTCAGTTGTTCTGAATTTAGAAGATCGTGGCCACACAGAACTCTTAACTAGCAGTTAGTATATGAAAATTAAGACGTACGATAGCATTGCTATTAACAAGAGGGCTGTATACCTAATAGACTTACTGTACATTGTAAAATGTACCATTGTATCAACCAATTTGTTTAACATTGTGGTGTATTTTGTCATTCTTAATGTATTCCTATCAAGAATAGGCTCTTTAGAAGCAAAGGTGTATTTAAGTTGTAATTATCATAATCGGAGTGACCTTTCCTTTCCTCAGGCTAAGGAAGCCCAGGATGACCTGATGAAGACCAAAGAGGAGCTGCACATGGTAATGAGCGCCCCTCCTCCTCCTCCCCCTCCCCCGGTCTACGAGCACGTGGATGAAAATGAGCAGGACGACGGGGAGGAGAACAACAGCACATACAGCGCCGACCTGCAGACCGAGGGCATCAATGACCACCGCCAGGAGGAGGAGCGGATCACAGAGGCCGTGAAAAATGAGCGCGTGCACAAACAACTGCTGGTGAGTAGAGGTGCCGCTGGGCTGTAATTTGGCAAAGATGCCTTTAGCTTAGCAAGCAATCAAACGTTGTGCATTGCTACAGCAGCTAACTTTTTCAGGATATTTTTTTCTTAATATTTGTTTTTTATTGCCGTCCAATATTTTGCACAGTAATCATTTTAATAATTATTTAGATTAGATTTTAATTTAATTAATATAGAAATAGTTATAAAATAAAAAATGACACAAAAACATATCCCCTTCACCCCCCACATTCCTTGCCCAAAACAAGCAAGGATTACACACTTAATACATAATCAATGCATCTAAAAGGTGTAGATACATACAGTATGCATATATACATGTATATATTATTTCATATTTATATTTCTTGGCGTGAGAATATCCTTTATATTTGAATTGATAAACTTAATTTACATTCATAAAGTATACAAATATACAATTCATTAAATTATACAATTCTTAGTTTTATCTTTATTTGACAAAATATAATTGCACATAACATTAATCCTTCTAATTTCTCCCATCTCCCAGCTCATTCTGATTCCTTGTTCTATGTGTTTCCCGTTTACTGTTCAAAAGATGCAGATAATTTATCATAATGTACCACAATTTGAGAGTTACTGTATGGGTTTTTCTCTTTCCGTGACGGACAACTGTCACGTAAGAAGCCCTCTTCTCGACCTGGTGCTCTTTCTTCTGATGAAGATTTTTTTCTCCCCCTAGGCTTTAAGTTCAGAGCTTGCCCAGGCCAGAGATGATACTATGAAGACCCAGAACGATCTGATCCACACCGAGAACGTGAGGGCTGGCCGCGATAAGTACAAAACGCTGCGACAGATCCGGCAAGGCAACACCAAGCAGAGGATCGACGAGTTTGAGGCTTTGTAAAGCCGTTGAGGGCAGCCACAGGCCCCCAGGAAAGTGCGCAGATCTCCAACCTTTCTGATTTCTGAGTGGTCACTGTAGGAGCTTCTCGAACTTCCTAGATCTGTAACCACTACTCATCACCAATCATCTGCATTAAGAGAACAATTTTCCAGTACAAATGCAAACCAGCTTTGGTGATAACGGGCACATATGGGCTTATAATTGATTGATTGCACAATCTTGTGTTGAAATTTTATATCATTTCGGTGCCAAACCTTGTTTTGCATATTTTAGGAACAATCTAAATCTTAATGCTATATCTGTTTTTGATGGGGGTGTTAGTTTTAAAAGTAATTCACGTTAAAGACAAATAGTGTGCCATAAAATAAGTAGAATCTGAAAGCTATTGCTGAGCAGAAGAGCAGCATTCTGTAATGTACACAATGATGTTCTGTGTGTACTATAAATCCATTGTTTAATGTCTTTTCATTGGATTGAAACTGGAGTTTGAAAAGGGTAATGTCTTTGCAGAGACCACTCAGAATAAGATGAGAAGCAAGCAGTATAAACCTATTATTCATTACCTATATGTGCAAGAGAGTGTACAAGGTTTTTTTTTCCCCATTATGTTTGAACACACTTCTATCCATATATTTAATATTGAGATAACGGATAATCATTAATAGATTAGTATTTATATATGGGTTATACCAAGAGAAATAAATGGGTATTTCATCTTGCTTTGTATATTTTTGCTATCTTACTACAATATTAAAGCTGTATAATAAAGTTCCTCTATCAACCAAATTAATTATAGTTTTGTTTTACGTATACTTTAGATCACTTAAAGAAATTTGTAAATTATTACTTTTTTAAATAAAATATTCAACCTGCATGTAACTCTTTATATACATTTAGCAAATTTCTAGTTAGGTTTCTGATGGTTTTTGCAATGTATCAGCGTTTGAGGGGGGGGAAAAAGACTACAAAACTGAAGGCTTCATATACTTTTTTTTCACCTTTTTGCACATGAGTAATCATTGTTCAGTAATGAGAGAGCAATGCAAAAGACACTTTTGAAAATCGGATTTGTACGTCTACCAACACGAAGAGAAATGATGCATATAGGGAGGAGCGTGTGTACTGACTAATAGCACTGACAAGCCTTCTTGGATGTTAGCCGAAATGCTTTCCCCCTAATTGATTCTGTCGTGAAGATTGAGAATGACACAATGCTGTCTTTTCATCATGTTTGGCTAATTTACCCTTTTTGAAAATGGTGTAGTTACAGAAAATGTAAGCACTGTCACAAAAGTACAGGCAGCACTGCTTTCCTACTGTACTGTGTTACTTGTATCTAAACATGACAAATGTTTTAATAAGCTGTTCTTTGATATATTGGCAATAAAGATCTGCAAGAAAGCTGTCTGGATTAATCTCATAGGCTTTAGTTCTATAGAGTGCAATTGAACTTCCTGATTTGGAAATCAAGGCAGCAGACGAGTTACAAAACTGGCAGCTACAAAAAGCTGGATAATATCTAAATCACAATATCTAAGTCACACTTCCACATGAGGGTTCTTAAGAATTCAGTGGATCTGTGGAAGTTCAGAATTTGTATTTCTGTTGTGAGTTTGGCTTACTTATACGTGTTCTGTTACTGTAATTTAACATTACAGCCCTCATTTTTTTATTCAATCATTTTATAGGTTGACAATCTAAGATACATAATCTAAAATAAATCCTTTGCATTGAATTTTGTTTTCAGGATTTTTTTTTTACCATGGAGTAGAGATATTGATTTTATTTTAGATATTATACAGCAAAAAACATTGGGTACTGACTAAAACAAAGGTCTTTTATTGCTTTCTTTAGTTAATGTTAACAGGCGGCATGGTGTCTGGAAGAACACTCAGAGATTGCCCAGCTCTCTGCATCACCCAACTATTATTCTTACAGCTATTCACCCCAATGTGCAACTGGGCATGATCGGCTAACCGTCTTCAAACACTCTTTCATGTTACCTGTTGCTGGCTGGTTCCAAGCCTGTTAAAGTGACAGCTAATTTGTCCTGAACCTTGAAGTATTGTGTATTCTAATGTAAGAGAAAACCGGCTCAGGGACGCCAAATATGTAATCATAGCCAAAATGTAAATGTAGTGGCTCTCTGAAGGCACCAGTTCTGTAGGGTTTGGGCATTTACTGAGACAATTATTAATTGTAGCAGTAAATCACAAAGTTGATTCTTTTGATGGC